TGCCTATCATAAAAGTGTGTTTACAAAATGTTGTCGTGTAAACGAGTAAATAGCGAAGTGGCGGTTTTGGCACGGTGCCCATTTTCAGGGGTGCCGTGCCCAAAACGCTTGTCGTGTAAACCGGCCTTAAATTGTTAATAAAGACTAAATAATTCCTCATTTTTTGTCATCAAGATTAATATATTTAATAGTTAGTCTAATTTCAACGTTAATTAATAGATAGGAAGTAAACATGCAGGCATGGTTTGCGTTTCTAATGGATAATAAACAAATTTTCGAGAAAGCTTTACAATGATCGAGATCCAAGCGCAAAAAAAAACATGGGAATCAAAAGCACATCAATTCATCAAACTGGCAGTAATTCAGTTAAATTAATGTCCAGACCTTTATTAGCTGTCGATGGAAACTGATATTAATTACTATTACGATAATTATTATACGGAATTAAACGCTAACACGCATATTTTCCTCGCGCTTCGAGTCTCATCTACAATCTTGGCAAAAAGTTAATGAAACACCTATAAAAAATCAGTAAAATAGACAAAATCCCTTCCCCCCTGAACAATGTTGGGCGTACATACTGGATGTTTCATTAGTTTTTGCCAGGATTGTAGCTCCACCTGTTAAATCCCATACGAGGTCAAAAGATCGTTTCCCGTTTCAAAATTTCGAATCGTGTTCTATGTGAATCGCTTATGTCATAAGCAAAGACGGTACTATGCCAGGAAAACAACATGAAAATCGTATAATTACAAGAGGCTGTATATTATACTGTAAAAAGTCTTAAATTTCTAAAGATTTTGACATCTTACACGACAATTGGTTCCTGTAGAACAATTGTATAACAGTAGGTTTTCCAAGTGATATATATTCCACAGCATCGTCAAAAGTAGACGGTGAAGTATATAGTTTGAAATCGGATTCTTGCATGAGGAAGTAATCGAGCAGCATGGTTAATTGTCCTGCATCCTCGTTTCCTTTCATCGGATGTCCAATGTGTTCAATAGGACCATCCACGTATTTCACTTTGCTACCATATTTTTCCTTCGCATAAGTTTTCCTTTTATCCGAGTCGGCGGCTAAAAACCAAATTATTTTCGTCGTATTGTACTTATCTTTGATTTTATTTTCGACTTTCGTTGCGCAGTTAAAAGCATTTTGAATATCTTCGGCATTTTTGTATCTTTTGTCACCTTTGTTGTGATGAAATACAGAATCGCCTTCTCTGATATGAATACCTAAAACAATATTATCAATGAAGCCTAGTTCCGCTTTCAGTTGCCGCAAACGATTTTCCAAGACATCGGACTTCTTGAACAAATAGTAAAAATCACATCCCAACATTTGAGGAACATTAGGCCAAATAGGTAAATCATACTTAATAAGATTCGCCAATGCTATGTAGAAACTTCCTCTTAGTCCAGGGTTAGATTCAACGGAGTAATTCAATAATTTTTCGACTTTTGTGTCTGTAATATTCTTTATTTCATTGAAGTCAATTACATAACCATGTCTAATCATAGTTAATATAATGAGAGGGTTTGGAAGGCCGGCAAACTTCAAAGGATCAAGCGCCCTTTCATGAGCTGAACTCGATAAGGTACATCACGTGACAGTTATAGTGCATCATGGCGGTGAATTAATAGAGTGATATACTATGGAATAGTAAAAAACCTCAAGTTTTTTTTGTTTTTTCAAAGTTTTGGTAAATTTTGAGAGTTTATCACACATTGCCTGTGTAGTAGGCAACTTTTAAGACGCTTTTAAGTTCCATTGGCCAATCTGCTTCCGCTGTGTATACTATCAACGGGGTGCCAGCTAATGTGTCAGCTATCGTATTTCAAGTCAAACGAAGTCAGACTGCTTTTCCCGTTCGAAGAGATCGTAAAGAATCACGTTTTTAGTTTTGGTAACATGGATGTAGATGATGAATACGAATCCGAACCTTTAGCAAGCTCTTTTTCCGCTTTTGAAGGCGATTTTGAGCAAACCATCGTCCTTCTGTGGATGGATGTGGACGAAGTTCAAATCGAAATTCAACAATCGCTTGAAGAGGTAATATAAAAGACAATACTTTTTGATATATTTTATCATCATCATAGACATAGCATTATTTACTATAGTGTTAATATTTTAATTTGTCTCTAGGTTGAAGGAAAGAAGCAATTTCCTTGCAACTTCTATGAAAAAGTGTGCAAGTCCAAAGGTGGCCTGACAAATCACCAACGAAGCAAACATGTGGCAGAATTGGGCGAGAGATCATCTTCGTCTGAAGATTTAATCATATCAACAGAAAAAATCGCTGGTTTAATTCGTGACATCAGTCGACACTTGATTGATGAAAAACTTTATAAAGAGGAACACACATCAGAGGTTTTTAAACTCCAACCAAGTGATTCATGTGTCAGTTTCATCAATCAACTGTTATTAAAATTTAACAGAAAAAAAAATCAGGACAAATTTCTCAAAGAGTTTTATGGCAAAACAAATTCAAACTGGAAAGAATATTTTCATCCGTGTGGAGAAAAGAAGATTGTTTTTCTTATGCTGATCCATCTCCCTGAACGCCTGATTGGATTTCTGAAGCTAAAGCAAGATGACCAAGGGCAAGGAATATCTGAGGTACAGTTGATTGTTGTCAAAATTCAGAAGTTGGACCAACTTGTTTAGAAGTCCAGTCCAGTAAGCAAGGTCTTGCCAACATCTCATTTGGCAGGATCTATACTTACACGGTTGGAAATTGTTTGATATAAGCCCACACTTTATACCTCCTGTACTCAAGGCTGTCTAACAAGGACAGCATAGTTGGATAGCATACTGTCTCTCGATCACCACTGAGTTAAGGGCCATTGACAAATAGATTTTGTCCACCAATCGCAGACTTGTGACGCTATTGCTTCAATTCCCACCTCGAGGACCAATCCAATGTTTTCTTTAGCCAGGAAAGTGTCCTGACTATTTCGTCCTTCTCCCATCGCATAACAAGTCCACGATCGTTGGACAAAATCTATTTGTTGACGGCCCCTAAACATGTTACTGCATGTCTAATTAAGATGCTTTTGTGACCTTTATCAACTCCTGTTTAGTAGAGTTCTCTCTTCTGCATTGAGGGTTTTCTTCGGGTACTCAGGTTTTGCTCTCTCATTAAAAACTAACTTAGACATTAATATAAGCACCAGGAACCTTTGTAATTAGGTTGTAACTGAAACCAATAATTACAGAGCGGTAAAAAAATAAAACTACACTGGCCAACCATTTCGTATCAATACCATCTTATTCAAAAATCAAAATGGGAAGTGTACATGCATGTCTGTTTCAATATCTCCTTCAAATTTTTCAAGCAATCAGTTGTGACATATATGATAATTTTCCTTTGTTTTTTATCTGAATTTTAGGAAGAATTATCCTTGTCTCCTCAGGAATTTGGACCTTTGTCATATTTGACTGGTTATGTGATCAGATCATTATATCAAAAAAGCAAAAACTGCTCAAGATGCGATTCGCCACGTAACAAAGAAATGCAAGCCTTGATGTCATCAATGCGAGAGGAAACAGAGGCAAATGAATACATTGCATCCTTGTCAAGAGGTGGACTTTGGTCACCTCACTCATGGATTGTAAGCATTGCAGAGGTGGCCGAGTTGCTATTTAGGAAACACACAGATAAAGACAATGTGACTCGTCTACCAGTAGACACAATAGTGAACGAAGTGATAACTTCTCCCCTTGTTAAAAACTTGTGGGGCAACATTATTGAAAACTGTGATGTAGAAACCTCAAAGGAATGTCAGTCTTTATGTCTAGAAAATGTTGTCAAATTATATGTTACTGTCAGGTGTTTTTCTTTTGCTAAGGATATTGTAAATAAGTATAAACTAAGTCATGGAACCCAACGAAAGAAAGCATTAAGAAAAGAACTGAAGATAGCCAGTGAACTGAAGTAATGTAAATATAATAAATTTGTGTAAATATGTTCATATAAATGTAAATATAATTATTAAACACTCGAGTATATTCAAATCAGATAACCTTTTCACAAATACAATAATCATACAGTTCTATATACAGTAATCAAATGTTTGGCACATTAGGAGAATTGTTAGATTAATCACAAAGGGTCCACACAAATGGTTTGCCCTTTAAATAATAATTGGATTAATCATGAGTTTTCTTTCATAATATATTACTGTCAATTGCATCCAAGATGAACAGTTGCAGATAAAACATAAAACTTACATTTTGTCAATAACATTTGAAAGGTTTTAATCTAATTAGCCAATCAGATTTGATTTGCCTCAAGTTTTACTAGAAAATGTTTTATTTCAATTTTGTGACTATTCATCCTGAGATGCAATCGATGGTAATGTGTTTAGGACAATATCACATTCAGCAATGTCTACATCAGTTCCCAGGGGCTCAATTTTAGGCACCGAAGAGTATATTTATTTATCCTTTTAGGGGTCATTCACAAAGGATGTCCGAGACGAGGGGGGGGAAAATCAGGACAAATTCGGGAAGGGGTTAGCAATCTGGATGTCCGAAATTTTAAAAATTTATAAACAAATTTCTGTTTCCTCTACTTTAAACTCTCCTTCCCATTGTGAAATTGGCATTTTGAACACTTCATAATATTATCTAATTCTTCCCTTCAATGATGAATTCAACAGTGTCACAAATAATAGCTTTTTGCATTTATAACTCTTTTTGTAGTCACATTTATAGTTATAAAAAAGTGCTAAAAGTAAGAAACGTTTTTTACTCTTGACATAAACAAGGTTGCATGAGTTTTTGTGAGGCATATTGGATGTCCGGGGGGAGGGGTCTGAAAATCCATCATTTGGTCGGACATCCTTTGTGAATGGCCCCTTAGTGATATGATTATTGTTCAACAAACATATAATGTGTTGTTCAAGCACAATATATGCGTGTTTAACAATTTATTTAAATTCACTGGCATTTGCCAAATTTCTAACTAAAAATAGCTAGTATCAATTAATGTATTTCATTGTTCATTGCCATCCACTACCTCTATTCTCATTGACTGATTGTACAAAAACAGCTTTCAAAGTGAACAATGTCATCTGTGAATTAGTTTTCATTGCTGGCCAGAAATTTGAGATTTTAGGTGCAATTTTTTATGGATGTGACAGAGTGAATAAGGGAACAATAAATAGAGAAATAGCTTAAATAGTCAGAACATTCATAATTAATTCACTCATTCACATCGATCAGAAGCAAATTGCAGTATAAATTCCAAGTATGTGCAATTTGCATCTAACAATACAAGTATAAACACCCAAATTTCTGGTACTTAATCTATTGTTTCATTTAGTGTTATTGGGGTTGAAATCAATTTATTTTGTTTTCTTGGTTGGTTTCTTTTTAGGCAAAGGCTCTTCACTTACACCATACCACTTACTTTTCTTGCCAGAATGCCGTCCAGACACATTTCCTTGCACAGATTGGGGTGCAACATCTCTCAATGTGGCGATCTTTAAATCATTGTATCCAAACTCAGCTGTTGTTGGGTTGTCACTTCTTCGCCCTTGTGCACGCTGGTAGCCAAAGTACTCCTCTACATCATCCTGGCAGAAACGTTCTGTTAGGACAAACTCAAAGCCTTCGCTTAACAAAAATTTGGTTACAGCGATGGCTGAAGTGACCGTCATCTTCAGTCCATTGAATGTTTGTTTGCTTATAAACATACGCCCTCTGTCATCATTTGAAAAATCTCCTTCTCTTGCTTCAGTTGATGATTTCCAACTTTTCAGATAATCCAGAAAGACATTCTGCAGCCAATCAAATCGCTCATCATCCGCACGTCGGTATGGGGCTAGCAAGGCATTGCGCTTCTTCTGATGCTCAGTCGTGGATCTGACATTCATGCAGTCGAAAAAATCATTCATCATCTTGCATAGCCTGGCAGTTTCACCTGCCTCTCCTGATGAATAATGGCGCTGGAGAGCTTGTGCAACTGCATTGCTCAACACTTGAACAGCCAAGCTGAATTTCATCTTTGAATATGACTTCAGGATGATGTGATCAACAGTCAACTTGGGAAGCTGATGTAAACCGGAGTCAAGATCAGAATAATACAGCTTGGCGACGTGGTCCCAAAGCATGTACTGCTCATTGTTCCACATATACCGTGTGCGCTTGCCACTGCCAGAATTATAAAGACAGTTTCTTGTTGTCTTGAGCAAGTGTGGAGTATCCGAGAAAAAGAAAATGTTCCTGTCTGGAGCAAAGAGGTTGGGTGTGTAATTTACCACGTCACCACCAGGTTCCACCAGATCAGCATGCTGTTCATAAAAAAGGCGATTAGGTGAGGCTCCATCGGAGACAGCTGCACAAACCCAGAGATTGCAACTCATCTCTAGCACAGATACTGCTTTCCAAAACAGGGGCATTATCTGATATGATGTAACATCTTTGGTCAGAAAGTACCCAAGGGCATACTTCAGATTGCTGGCAGCACCTCGAACAAAAAATACCAGGGCATGTGTTGCAAGGTCAGATGATCCACTGCTGACATTCAACTCTTCTTCTCCAAGATCAACAAAGCCAATCAGCTCATTGGAGTGTTTGTCAAATACCAACTTTGACTGGATTTTCATCTCATCAAATGAAATGATAACATACCTCTGGATGTCAAAATATTGGCTTGTTTGATTCCTCAATCGTTCAATATTTTCTGGATGGAAACCTGCCCTGGGTTTGAAAACATTCCGGTAGTCCCGCAATGTTCTTTCGCTTGGAAGTACTAAAATACCAGAATCTCGCAGTTCTCTATAAGCCGCTGGGGACTTGGCGTGGACAGACAGGCAAAAACGGATAATGTGAGGGTGGTACCTTCTTCCAAATTTTGGTATTGATAGTAGTTTTCTATGTTGCTCCCAGAAAACTTTCATGTGTGGGGTTACTTCGTCACCATCATCAGCGAGAATTGCCAAGATGTCTTTCTCCATGGTCTCATCAATAGGAATGCTGTTCCTTTCAATTTCTTTCTCCAGTTCAGCTATCCGACCTTCAAGCTCCTTGCAAACAATCCTTTGCTTTTGAACAGTGGCGACCAATCTTTCCTTGCTTGAACCAGACAGGGGTGCATTGCTCTTGAGTGGCTCAACTGTTCGCTTGTCATTACTCTCCTTCATTTTACCAAGGAATCTTTCCTGCTTCATGCAACTTGAACACAAAATGTCATCACAAAGCAACTCACAGTTTTCAGACCGGATGAAAACATGAGCCTGAAATGGTGGACCATCCTCTTCATAATGCTTTCTTTCAATGGGAATTGTATGTCTCATAAGACTACTGGAACCCGACGGGCTGGGATCTTCACACATGGCATTGGCGTGTTCATCTTTAGTGAGACCGTCACAAATTTTAGCTCCTTCCAAAGTGGACATAAGGGTGGAAATGGTGGTATGTTTAAGTGATCTCTTGTGGTTATTATAGATTGGATGGTTGTCTGGTAAGAACCAGTTATATACAGCCACAGAAAAATTAAGGCCAGTAGCAACTGACAAGGCTAATTTTGGTAGGGTATAAGGTGAATGGAGAAACTCAAAAACCACAGTATCCTCATCTTCTGTCTTGGACCATCCTTTCATCACTAAAGACAATACTTTTTGTTCAAAATGTTTCAAGTTGCGATACACCACTGGAACAGGAAGATCAATTTGCTGCCGCACAAGCTCGCGTCTTGGTGCCACAGGAGGAAGAGGGACACTTTTCACAGGAAGATTTAGTGACGGTATTGCCCCACGAGTTAGTCTCTTACGACTAGAAACTAAAAAAAAAGACCTAAATTTGAACAAACTCTTTTACTTTAACAGATTGAGCTACATTGATGTCAATGTGCCCATGCACCTTACTTTATTATAGTAATGCAAATATATGAAAAAAATCATACACCACCCGAGGGAAATCCCCCCAAATGAGAATTATATATACCCCTCGCATAGTTTAGTATCCCTGCACAAGATTTAAACTATTAAATAAACCTTTGTACAACACAGTTTGTATTAGAAATATAATAAAAGCCATATAATATAACCTTTGCTATATATTATCATGCAATATCGTAAAAGTCGATAAAATACAACTAGCCTATATACCTTTATTTACAGCATTGATTTATAGGCTTTTAATATGCCTATATGTAATGCTTTCATGACAAAAGCATACAACTTAACATGTAAAGCCATAACATGTATTAAAGCCATACGAGTGTCAGGTTTTATGCTTTTGTCGCCATTGAAACGCCAAACTGCCCAAACAGCTTCCAAATAACTCGTTCAATTATTATACGGCTGAATCAAATTACAAATACTATAAATAAGCCTTCTTGAATATCACAGCTCTATTTTGAGAATATGTATTAAACGTTTTAATATCCTTTTTTTTGCCACGCTTTGTCTTTATTTCTTTTCTTGTGAATATGAATATACTAAACAGTTGAATTGAGCAATCATCAACCTCGAAGATTATTGTAATTTGAAATGGAAATGATCCAATTTGCATACAGAAGACAGAGGTTTATTGTTTGACGGCATGCGACGCATATATATTATCGTGAAAACCGCATTTTACTCCAACTCTCTGCTGCTTCATGCGCAATAACAAATAATAAAAAAATAGAAATATACACTTACGACAATCATATTCTTCATTTTTAAAGTGCTTCTCGCAGACATACAGGTTTCCACTCTCGATTTGTCGTCGCAAGCTATCGTCCACGACGCGGTCCTTCGTGATTATGCTTATCCAGGCTTTGTGAGTTTTCCTTGATAATTCGTCTGTTTCTGCAGGAATTCGGAAAATTCCGACTCCAACGTGCTTTCGACTTGTCCCGCAGCCAAATATGGAGCAATTCGCTCCTGGCATCGCGAAAAAACTATGATTTTTGAGATTTTTACCCTTCGCTTAGTTTAAAACTGTATGCTTTTCTATATGTCAACACCGGTCAACACCTCTTCGCATGCACTATCGGATCCACGTGACTAAGAACAATGAGTTATTTTGTCACGTGACCCAGCCTTCCAAACCCTCTCATTATATTAACTATGGTTTAATGTAATTAGCTTAAAAGGTAAATTTGCCATTACTAATTTCAGACTGCAAGCTAGGGCAGCAAACCATTACAGAAAGCGTGGGGTGGACTTGATCAAATTCCCTGACTCAAGTCAAGTTTAGCTATTGACTCGACTCGACTTAAACCAGTGACTCGACTCGAGGGAAGCCGCTGGCTCGACTCGACTCGATCAGAAACTGGAAATTTAATGACTCGATTCGACTCGTGACTCGACCGACAGGTGACTCGTTACAACACTCAGTGAGTGATATATCATTTAAACTTGCGATTATTAATAATTAACCATTTTTCGTTAAGCAATAACTGTGCATGAACTAAAGCAAGCCATCTGTATGCACTTGACATTTGTTATAAGTATTTAATGACCGTTCTGTAAACTCTTGCTAAAATGGAAATATGAATATTAAATTCCTGAGTGTTTGAAGTTGTTCTGATGCTGGCGACAATTACTGATGCATACATATATATATACATATATATATATATATATATATATATATATATATATATATATATATATATATATATATATATATATATATATATATATATATATATATATATATATATATTTATGCATACGAAAAATCATCGCTCCATCGTTTTCATCATTTTCTTGTCACTCTCACTTTCTTGTAGAATAATTAAAGAACCTTCAAACATATAGGCACTCTTGTCTTTATGTTTACATGAAGGATAGCTATGTAATACTTACGCAATTTTACATCCAGTGGCAGTTCCTAGCAAGATTCTTCTATACCATTTATTGTACTTAAATTCATCGCGATGATTACTGGAGTTTTGGGAAATATCACAGTAACACAGACTGAGGTGAAAATATGCGATTTTGACTAACATTTTTGATCCGCCTCGTACATGCTTATTTTTTCTCCACTTGGTATGAAAAGCATGTCATTCAAAAGCCTGATCTTTCCGAATATGAAAACCAATTGTTCATATACGCCGAGTGATTCACGTATAATAGCGCGCTGAAGTTCGATTACCTTTTTATTTATACACCCTGTATAACCGATAACATTATTAAGCTATACCAGTTTATGACATTATAAGACGAGACCGAGATCGCAAAGGTGGTGGGGTTGCATTCTGTATAAAAAGTACTATGAATTATATAAATCATACTGAATTTATTCCAGACAACCTAGAATCTATCTGTGTCGAATCTAGAATCTATCTGGGTGCTTCGGCGATCGTACAACGATGCATGGAATGTTGGCTGTGAGCATCGTTTGATGATAGGTATGCTAAAGGAAGGGTAGATAATTCGAAGAGCTCTTTCCTGGATCTGTTCTATTTGATTATTAAGGTACGCAGGGAGATTGTATAGTGCCACGCTTCGCATGCATGCAGGGATATAGGTCTAACGCACGCGCGATAGACTTTGACTAGGGACGAAGTCCGGAAGGCCGCTTATTTGGCGTAAATTTTAGCTCATCCACTATTCTTGGCGGCGTGCAGTCTAGAAAAAATGGCGGATACGCAAGCTGCAAATGTGGAGGTATGTTTAAAATACTAAATTACTAATGAATAATACATGTTTGAATAATATATAATTTATTTACAGGTAATTGTTTTATTTAAATAAAGTTCCTGTTTTTTTTTTAACTTTCTAATAACCTTTTCTACTTGCACTGTGCAATTTTGTCATTTTTAAATCCATGTCGATTTTACTAAATTAAATTATAAATATATAATACTCTTCAGGCATTCAGCAATTCCGTGATAATTATTTTATTTATGAACTGTCTGTCGAAGTTGTAGAACTAATAGATCATAAAATAATATATTCAAAGTAAAACAATATTTCAAGTATGCCTGTTTTTGTTATATACCCGTTTTTTTGTTATATACCTGAAAATAAAATGTTTTATTGTTGTTATTATCTCCCGTTGTCATCAATAAAATACTATTAATTTATTACTGTTTTGTCTGTATGTGATTATGTACATCATTCTGGATAGGCTAAATATAGTTGA